TGAGTCCTGATCAGTGAATGTAGTCAAAATGAAAGATATGATGGTGCACAATGTTCTATTGATTCATACAGACACATCAAACTATAATCACGACTTTGTGAAGAAGATGATTCCAATGATGAAGCAGATTAAAGCCGTCAATCAACATATTTTTAAATAAGCTAGTTGTATGATTACAATTCAAACACATTCATCTTTTGTGTTGTGTGTTGTATTAACTTTTGCGTGTGCAAGTGTAACATCCAATTATAGACAAATGTAAAGCTAATAGGCCGAGCTAATGAATGTATTAATGAAGCATGCATCATCATGTTTTAGTAGATACTGTAGCCGTAATATTATTACACATTAGTCTGACATTCCGCAAACTCTGATCATCATCTAAAAATGTTTTCCTTCGGTGCCTGATGAAAATTCATACACGCTGCCTTTATTTGACACTCATGAAGATTTACTGAAGATAATAACTTGCAAATGCTGGTAACACTAAACTAAAAGTCTCCCTGTTAAGGAATTTGTTAGCATAAGTAAATAAACATTGAATCAATTGTGCGATCTTTCCCCTCAGAAATGTGTGACACTACAGTCTCAAAAACAACTTAATTCAGCTGCTTGCAATCGAGCTATCTATTAAAACAACATTCATTATGATAAATATATGCAATTATTGAGAGCAATTCTAGCTCCTTGTCATCCACAGTGAAATGTCTGATTACCCAATTCTTGTGCAATAAATAGCATGGTAATTGCTGCTCTTCAACATCCCTATCATCATCATATCTCTCTCCAGTAGTGTTCTGACTGTGAGACGTATAGAGCTACTGTTACTGTTCAGTAGTCATGTATTTTGGGTGGCTTGCCTTTGACACCGTACAGAATGATCGATCCATCTTAATTGAAAGGCAGTGTGGCCTCAGTTTGCAAGGCGGCTCAGATCAGAGTCTAAAGGTGTTATAGTTGATGTGAAACGTAACTTCTCGACTAGTTGAGATATCTACACCGCAGGGACTGTCTAACACTGAAGGGCTCGACCAGATAAGCAGATCTGGATCAAGGTATCTGTGTGTTGTTTCTCAGCATGAAGCAGTTTACAGTCTGCTAAGAGACAGAGAGGAGAGTCCTCAACACATGCACATCATCGGGGACAGGGGAGGACATTCAACGGGAGTCTACAGTGTCACACGGTCATGGAAACGCCACAGTACAGATGGTATTTTAGGAGGCAGCCAGGGAGAATGATTTTCCTCTGGGAGGGATATGAAGGGAGTTGGAACTAGAGGTGGAAGCAGAGTAGACAGCTGCAGATAAACAGGAGGAACTGAAGGGAACAATGACTAACAAAAGGTAAAATGTGTACAAAAAAAAAAATTGAATACGTTTAAAGGAACAAAAATGATGACTTTAAACTGCCGGTAAAGCTTTGTACCATCTCTCATAAGTGGAAAAACTGAAATGGTGGTAAACCGTCTCGACTTGTCTTAAAAAAGTCCATCTATATTCACAAGCAAGTGATGCAATTAAATGATGGAGTTTGGTGGGTGAAGCCATTCTCTTTACAACATATGTTATTACCATGACCAGCGCTTAATGTTGCTGATTTAGTCAACTTTAACGTTATATATTTCCAAAAGAAAACATAACCCATTTCTACTATATTGCAGTTTCCCATGTGGATGTGTTCAAATGAAGAGGGCTGTCATTTGGTTCATTTCAGTCTGGGTGACAGACATCAAAGAGATGCTTTGGTAGTGGAGATATGCTGCATTGAGGCTGGCCATCAAAGAGCTCTGCATTCATTCACTGAACACCTTTTTTCCAGAAGCATTGTATTCACAGTAATCCTCTGAAGTGACCAGTTGCTCTCATCTACAGACAGATCCATGAACTGAACCAAAGAGATGTGCAGTATAAAGAAACACAACAGCTGGCAGCCTAAGAAGTACATGAGTAACTAAGTATGTAGGTACAGCACAGTACAATTGGAGATACTTTCCTTGAAGAATGCAGAAGTATACACAACTGGTTCTGGGCAATGTGAGAAAATCATATATCCTGATAAGTTCGGCCAAAAACCTATTTCACTAAATATTGTGACAATGAGGATTTTGATAAATATTCAGTGATGTGGATGTAATGACTAGAGATGTGTAGGAAAACAAAAGGACAGCTAGAAAAGACTGGTAGGTTCAGAAAATGTAATCACTTTACTGCAATGCAGCCTTTGAAACCATGAACAGACAACACTTTCCATATATTACGATTATTATCTTAAATCACAGACCACCTAGTCTCATAACACAACATGAATGTAATATGGATATATGTTCCAGCCCCATGTACTAAATGTACTTCAGAAAAAGTAAAGCCACCCATTCGGCTGCAGAACGGACCCTGTTAGGTTTTTCCTTAGATTACAACTGATACATCAAATGTAATAAACCGTTATATATCCATTGGTTAGAACTTATAGACTATTTTTAAAGGATTTCTTATAAGAAAGAGGTAACGTAAACTTTGAAATGTAAAAAAGCTTTTGCCAAATTTCATTTGGACGTGTCGAAGCAGGAAAGGTCCAGGTGCGTTCAATAACATTGGCAACGTGTTACTGTACATGTTGTTCACCGAAGTGGTTCACTGGGCTCGTTAGTGTTATTAGTTCCACCTGTGCTGTCCCGTGTCTGACAAATCAAAATGAACTTTTTTTGCTATAGGAAGTATCCAAAGAAGACTTAAAGGTAGCTTACCACACAAACCGAATACTCTCTCACTAGTAAAAGTCGTGCATTTAGAATTTTGTATTTTGAAGTTGATGTTAAACATACTTGTATTTCATTATTGAATTATATATGTGTTGCTTCTAAAGTATCTGGACTTAGTTTGGCTTTAGATAACATAACTACATTGATGATATATCCTTGTTTTGGTGTTGCACAACCACTAAATGAAAACGGACTAAAGTAAAAGTCGGCCTACAAAAGTATAAAAAGCAAAAGTGCTTATTATGCAGAATGTCAAAGTTCAGAATTTATGTTTTATTAAGAAGTGCTTTACTTTTTATAGTTTATCTAGTGTAGCGTTTTCACAAAATATAGTGTTGGATAGAATAGAACAACGTATTATCTTTTATCATGTGTTTAGTATGGAAAGTAGTATAAAGTAGCATAAGATAGAACATTTCAAGTAAAGTAGGCTACAGTACAAGTACCTCAAAGTATATAGGTAGTAGACCAGACCTAGCCACAAGTTGGTGTATTATTGTATTTTTGCTAGAATTTAGTCTAACCAAAATCTGCATAACTTCTAAGGGACAAAAGTAGTAAGACCTTTATCCTCTATTGAATGTATTGCACTCACCGCTGTGTTGTCCTTCAGGAGTATTTTTCTTCGAAGTTTGTTTGCCTCCGTCGGAGTCTTGTCTGCTCAGCACATCGGACAGCGACTGGCGGGAACTCTGCCGCCCGGTTTGTCTCGACACGTTGAACCGGGCGCTCTTCTTCCGGACCCGGTCCACGGCCCGGTCCGACTCCGGGGCGGATTGGCTCCTCTCCGGGTCATGGTTGTTCTCTGGTTCTGAACCCACTTTCACCAACGCATTTCTTGTCCGTGTTAGAGCAGAAGTCACCGAGCCCATCACTAAATAAAAAATTAAAAAAAACGTTAAAAAGCGTCAGTTGGTATCGGTTACTCTGAGTTTACCGTTAATTTTACTCAAAACCTGTTGAACATTGACTCTATTTTTGTTTTACTCGCCATTTCCAACAAAAAGAAAGCGCGGAAAAAGAAAACACCCACCTCTGTCATTCACACACCGTTGTCATGTTGGGCTCAGGTAATTTATAGCACGATATCGAAATGATTAATGAAGGAAAAACTGAGTTTAACCGGATCATGTCGGCATGTCTCCCTCGGTTTGTGTTTCCTCCGCCAGACGCGTCACGGGGAGAAAGTTGGTCCGTAGACAAACACACCGATCTCTCGGGGAAAACCCGCGAAAACAAGCGACATTAATTAACCGGAAAGTATCCCTGATTATTAAATGAGCAGAAATCCAACTGCATTGACTTAATTAAGCCTAATATTGATTATGATAATCAAAAACACCAGTACGCCCTCCTTCTTAAAATCACGTGTATAGGCTATCTAGGATAAATTATCGCGAGATTTAGTCATGGTCAAATTAGTTAATTAAAAGAATGGGATTATGAAGTATCTGGGTACTTCTGACAAAAAAGAAGCCTGCTGTAATGTCCCACCACCAGAGGTAGTTCAATTAACATTCATCACCGACAGATGGCAGCCAAATACAACCAGTCTCTCTGTGAACTCAGGGAAGGTCTATTCTATTTGATCGGTTTTTGACTGATTCTGACTCAACAGCTCTTATTTTCCGTACTGCACATTATCTCATTGTAGCATCAATGATTGTTATTTTATTGTGGAACCAGTGACTTGTGTAAAGAGCATCATTTTGTGATAATAAAATGTGATTTTGGTTAACTTATTAGAAATCTGTTTCTGCTTTTTAAATCCTTTACTTAAGTGTAGCAAAGCAACAGTTTAAGAACACTTAATTAAAAAGGTCTGCAATCAAATATTTTTTTTAAATAAAAGCACATCAGTATTATCAGTCAAATCTGGAAAGTATCTCAAAACGCAGTGAAACAGATTGTAGCCCTTATGCTGCCCACTGCTGGAAAAAGTTTGCATTGGATTGAATGCCCCACAAAAGCCATTTTGAAAACTAAGCTAGTTATAAAAAATGGATACAGTTGACAGTGTTCCACAGCTTGAATGTATCAACTTGTACTTTTATTTTTATTTTATTTGCCTATCAAGCACTTTTAAAGTATATGATAAGGTGGTGTATAAATGAACTTCACTTCGTTTTAATCATACATATGAAGAATGGTTCTACTACTTCTACCTACTACTCTATTTTCAAAAAGGCAATACCAGCAAAACTAGCACACACCAATACCAAACACAAGTATGCACACAAATGAGTATCAGTCTCACTGGTTTATTGCTCCATACAGGCAATTGTGACATTATCAGCATACAGATTTCCTGTAATGTGTGCATGCGGTATTGATCAAAAATACTACTATAACACCGAAAGAAAGATTTTTGTAGACCTCAATGAGGATTTCTAAGCTGTGCTGATTTCATTATTGTGTCCAAACAAATGTGACAAAAGGTAATACTTTCAGTAGAGGAGGAAGCAAAATACAGTCTGTGTGAACTAACAGGCATACTGGATCATCACATGTAAAGGCACTTTTCAAAGCGGTCTGCTTTCTGTGTTTTGTGTTGGTTTGCTTGCTTGTAGCCCCAGTGAAATGTGTTTCTTCGTATTGCTCTTATTGTTTTGCAAACACATTATTACTCCATGTCATTGTGGTTCTGGGTTGACTCGTTGATCACCTGAACAAAGATATACAGAAAAGAGAAAGGTGAGCAGGGTTATTAGTCTGAGACCATCAGAAAACTACTTCATTGATTAAAAACCACTTGAAGTGAATTTTACCTGACCATCTCTGGTCTCAATGGTCTTAATGAGAACCTTCTTAGTTGTTGTAGCTTCAAAATGAGGTTTGGAATCCATCATTGTTTCTAAAAAAAAAAAAGGTGTGATTATTATCTGCCTATATAACAAGCAATACTAACATTCCTGCTTACATGCACACTGTTATCCTACCTCTCAGGTTTAGGGATGAGAAGTTTGGCATTGGGGTGATTCTTAAATAAGAGAAAGTACAGTCCGAAGATCAATATCTGGTCTTTGCTGCATATCTGTAACATTAATTTGCATATCTGTCAAATCTTCATCCTTCACCTGTTCTCCTCTCCCTCCAGCAGCTTCCTGTAGGTGGCAATCTCAATGTCCAGGGCCATCTTGACATTGAGGAGGTCCTGGTACTCCCGGAGGTGACGGGCCATCTCGTCCTTCATGTTGTGAATGTCCTCCTCCAGGCGGCCAATGGTGTCCTGGTAACCACCCGTCTCCAGGGAGAAGTTCTCCTCTAGCTCGCTCATCTGGCGCTCCAAAGACTCATTCTGGGATGGCAGCCAAGTGAAAACAAAGGCAATTAGGCAGTGGAAATAACTTTAACTCCTACGGTTGTTTTTTTTGCTTTTGTGACCTGTAAAAACAGCCCTCTCCTCTATTTGCTGTGTAATTATTTGAAGGCATGCAGCTTTTTCTGAACTTTTGGGCTCTGTTTGTTTGGTTCCAGCTATATATTGGTTGAAAACATTAGTTTTTTGCATCATTATCTCATAAAATACAGTGTAGGACTGAAGTTGAATACTCACAGTTCCTTTAAGGGAATCCACCTCGCAGGTAAGTGACTGAACTTGGCGTCTGTAGTCATTGGCTTCTTGCTTGGCCACTCTCAGGGCCTCATTATTCCTGGTTGAAGCTTCGGTGAGGTCAGCAAACTGTCAACCAAACATAGACAGAGGAGGGGAGAACTAAGAAATCAACTGTTGAATAAATGATGAGTCAGAGGTTGAGGGAGAAGTGACTGGCAGATAGTGTAAACTGGGTAATTTGTGTAAGATGTGGCCAGACGTGACACAGCTGCTTGGTTGTCAAAGCAGTAAGCATGTGATGATGTAAAAATATCATGTGACGATTAGCATGGCCAAAATAATTGAGATACACAATATTATACTAATAATCATACAAATATGCTTTTTATTATTATTGAATCACAGATAGGAACATTTTTAAATGAATATCCCCATGCATAAATAAAGGATAATTAATTTTAAAATTGGAACATTATACGAGTATTATTTCTCCAATGAGTATTGCTGTGTTTTTTTTTTAATCAGTTATTATTTTCCAGCTTTTTAAAATCACTTATGTGAGGATATTTATCATTATCCTGATAACGGAAATTTACCACAATCGCCATGTTGCCTGTGTTTTTATATCCAAATACTATTCAGATTTCACAGGTGGTTTGGAACTTGGTCAGCCATTTTTGTCTCGGCAAATTATTGTTATTACTGCCAAAAACAATGCCAATGAGGGTCATTAAACTGAGCTGGGGGTCAGAAAACCAAAACAACAAGGGTGAAAGACACTGAAATGTTCAAGGGGTTCTGCGTGGTCGGTTGAGTTACCACTATGAGAAACAGTTTCTCAGTAAGATTATGATCAATTACTAATACATTGATTATACATTTAATACATTTGTATCTCTTAGATGAAGCTCAGCGCAAGTTCTTTCAGGAAGACTGGTATACATTCACTCCGCAGCTGCTTATTATCAGCTCATCACAGGCTTCCTGCTAACCTATTACATTCACCTCAATCTCAGCAGCCAATCATCATGCTGCAGCCAAACTTTAAAATGGTTCTTTTCTCTCCTGCAGTCAGCTGTGATTTCAGGTGTTCATGCTGCCGACCACCTCCTCCCCATCCACCTCCTTTCATCACATCCAGTGCCAGGAGAGCTAATCCAAAGACCTCATCACATCCCCTCTTCATCCCATCTCCTCGTCAAATCCAGATCTTCAGCATCATCACCAGTGTCTAGACCCCAGGGGGGTTCCCTATGCTCACGGCTGCATCCCCCTTTAGATATACGATTTCAGGATCGGGGTCTTATCGCCAAAGAATAACATTTATCACATGGCATGTGTCAATAAATGTTTTTTAAACAAAAAGAAGTCTCTCCTCATTGAAATGTTATCAGTGTCTTATGTTGTGAAGCGCTTCGGGATTTGTCTTGGTAGATGAGTAGCGCTATATCAATTCAATTTATTATTATTATTATTATTATTATTATAGTCCATTGTATTTACCTTGGATTTGTACCAGTCCTCAGACTCATGGAGGTTTTTGGAGGCCAGGTTCTCATACTGCAGGCGCACGTCTCTCAGAGCAGAAGTCAGGTCAGGTTTGACCATCTCCATGTCCACCTGCACATGATGCTGCTGCTGGATCTGGGTCTGCATCTCAAGCATTTCCTGCAATGCAATGAACAAAATGTACAAATACTTCCAAAATAGTAGGTAGACTATTTTTATTTTGCTCTTATAACTTTCCTGGCTGTATTAAAATGCTCTGATCCATTGAACCCGACCAGATTGGTCCTGGCCAGATTAACAAATACCTCAAATTGTTTGGCACAGTATTCATTGGGGGTGGTTTAGTTTATGAGGTATTACACACATAGTAGTTCTGCAGTAGACTGGTTGAGCTTTAGCCCAACAAAAGTAAACTTACCTCATCATGCAGCTTCTTGAGGAAGTTGATTTCATCCTGCAGCGATTCGACCTTCCGCTCCAGGTCCAGTCTGGCGAGGGCAGCATTGTCCACATCCTGTGTAGTGACAATGACTCCTAATAAGGTGACTTGTGAAGGTCACATGAATATTGGGTATTTGTAAATGTTGAATAAGTAAATATGATATCCTCTGTTGTTTGTTTGTATGTTGTTTTTATGTTTCATGTGGAACTAAATGATGCAGGTCTCCCTTGTAAATTAGATCGATGATCTCAAGGGACCAATCTATCTAAATAAAGGTTTGAAATGAAATGATTGCATTATATGTTGCTGACATAGACAGAAAATGCCCTTCCACACATGCTGTACAGGCACACTCACACAACAGCTACCTACACAAAATGACCCATTGTGCAGCAAGGTCGCAGACACATGCATCCAATAGAAATGAACTGAGGCACATGACAAGTGTCCCTGCAGATGTTTTCCCGTGATGTACATGAGTTGTTTACACTGCAGCACCTTTTACACAGTCCTCAAGTACTTTACAGGCACATTTGCAGAGGTTGAACTGCACTACAGTTTATCCCTATAATGCACTTGATTTCATTTCAGGTACTAGCTTACTCACAGGTTAATAACTTACATGGAACACATATTAAAGGGTCATCAAAGTATATAAGTACCTATAAAGTATAAGTGTATAAAGTACCTATTATAGGCAACATATTGGCAGATTACAACCAAAAGTGATACTAATAAACGACATAATGTATTATTAATAATATGACACTGAAAGGGGTTTCAGGATAATTCGTTTTGTTCCCCTATGGTACATTTGCCTACTTTTACCTGAATGCATGATTTGACCTTGTTGTACTATTTTTGGATTCAGGTATATCTCCAAATATTCTGTGAGATTGTTTCAATACATTTAGGAATTCCTTTGATTTAATAAAGGAGTAGAGCACCCAGAGCCAAAAAAACATTATTCAAGAGGCTCTTGATCCCATGTGTCATTACCAAACTGCATTCTTAACCTGATCAGGCACGTGCACACATAGACCTCAAAGTGGGCTTGAGCCCCTGCCCTTTTTCTTCCTCCAGAGAAAGTGCCCTTTTTATGGGGTGCTTTTATTTTATTTTTATTTTTTTAATAAATGAATATGTGTCTACTGCTGTTTGCGCACACTTTCCAAAAATATATTGATTGAATAAAAAATTAAAATATCAGGTCGGGAGATTAGACTGTGAAGTTCCACTGCTCTCTCTCCCCTCCCTCCCTCCCTCCCTCCCTCCACGTCTCGCGCACAGCGGTGCTGACATCGGCAGTCCCTTCAGACAGACAGGTAGCAGCACCTCCCACTTTACTGTCCCACATTATGCCGGCTTTTCTTGGTTCATTTTGAAGGTGAGTGGTGATGAACAAATGACTAAGCTGCCGGTGTGTGAAAGACACATTCAGAAGCCAAAGTACAGAAGAGAGGCTTTCTGATCTCCTCCTCCTCGCTATTGAGAAGGACATGTTATCCACAGTGAAGTAATACACATCTACATGGACATGGCCCCTAGAAGGTTGCTGCTGTAAGGGAGGAAGGAGACACAGCAAGTGAAGACACAAAAACATATTTAACAACTTCCAAGTGCAAAGAAAGATACAATATACAAAGAAAGTTAGTAACAAAATAAGTTATTAACAACATATTTAATTTCAGATTTCAAGACCTTGTTAAATAATTTCAGTAAAGTTGTAGTATTTTTGCATGTTCTTAATAAATCTTTTTGCACCGTTTTTTCAGCATTGTTGATGTGTTTTGTCCAATTAAATTAAGTAAATGAGTAGGAGAGGATAGCAGAATGCACTAAGTGTAACTGTTGTAACTAAACTTAGGCCTACTTGTAGTTTGGAGTGGAGGTTGGTTTGCGTATTTATGTAGAGAACAGCCTTTTTCAGCTTTGTGTGAAGATTTTTGTTGATTTTGAAGTGTTATTTATTTTAATACCACAAAAATAATTCAAAGGACTTAATGTTGTGCTAAAATAAACTAAGTATTATAGCAATTAACTAGTAGCATAGAAAAAATGCACATTGTGGCATAGTTTCATTTGTTGATGTCTGCTCTTGTGCGTAGTGAATACTAAAGACGACCATTGTCTCTGTGTTAACTGATCATTTTGTAGAATTATGTTGAGTAATGTGTTATTTATTATTTGCATGTACAGCACTTTGGTCTCGACCAAAAATCGTTTTAAAATGTGCTTTATAAATAAAACCTGATTTGATTTGAGTATTAAACAATTGCGTGAGTGTGAGGGTATTAAAATTAATTGGTCGGTAAGCCAGAGATGTGCAACTATATTTAACTTTTACATTTTTTTTAATAAATGATTATGGGATGTGCCCTTTTTCTCACTTGAGCCCCTGCCCCCCAAAATGTCTGTGCACGTCCCTGAACCTGATAGTCTCTTTTTAGTAATTCCTCTGAAGGTTCTGTTAAAAGTAATTAGGACATCTTACCAGGTTATACCTGAATGCAGCAAAGAATGACGCAAATGTCCTCTTATGACCAAGAAAATACATTTTACAAATATTAGGGGGGGGGGCTCTTTCTTCAGTGTTTAAAAAAAAAAATGATGAATGGCTTACTTTAAAAAAAAGCACATGACTGGTAAACACATGAGTTAGAGTCATACTTTTGCATGACTTTAAGGAGAAACTCAGTTTTATAGATCTTTCAATGTAAGTGTATAATTGCAAGTTGACTAAATACTTTTCAGCCCTACATTGTATTGCAATCAAAACAGCAAACTATATATTATTGTATTTTCTCCTCTGTTCATGCGCCATTGCAGTGCAACACACCACTGTGCTTTGTCAGGGCGTTGGCAGGCTGGTAATTGAGGTATCAGCAAATGAAGGAGCTTTGCCCCTGCTCTAATGCCACAAACAAAGTGTGCTATTCAGCAGGGTTTCCCAACAGGCCCGGGGCTGGAAGAGTGACTGTCTGCCTGACTGGGCGAGAGCCGTCTGCTGGCCCTGCATTATTGACTGTGTGCCACCATGGCAGGCCCAGGTGGACTTCCTTCCTGTCATTCATATAGACAAGGTTGAGATGGTACAATGTATTGTACTGCAAGCCCTAAAAAGCACATCACTGGAAAGTTTGAGTTGTGTGAAATGGAATTTTTTAATTTTTCTTTTGTTTTCTACCGTGACACACATTTGAAACTCTTTGCACAGCTCATTATCACTTCATTAATAACCATGGACCCAGTGATATAGAACAATCACTGACTAGCCCATTAAGAGTGAGATTTTAATGTGCTGATGCTCTCCCAGAATGCGACACTCGGATCACATGGTGGCTTGTCTTTTCGCTCTGATAATCACATTGGCTCGACACTGTTGTTGTGCCCAGCTTATTCAGTGTGACCAGTCAGACTTAAAAAGATCTCGTCTCGTTGCAGGCCTGATTTAACTCAACAGCCACAACTTGGCCTTTTGTACCAGGACAGGGTCAGTTCTGCTCTATGGTTATTTCAGCTCATGGCTAGAATCTGCTGTTGTGCCATCAGAGAAGCTCATTCCTGTCTCTGCAGCTCACATGCAATAATTAGATGTAGGAGAGAAAATGGGAACGTTAGAAGACATCACTAAGAGACTCATAGAGATAATTGAGGTTTATCTAATCTCTTTGACATCACTTGTTTAAGGTTATATTTAAGCCGGAATAGCAGTGCTCATTCACATTTCTGCAGTTGAAAAGGTTATTATCTATAATAACTATGTTTGCAAAATCCCTATCCATCACAAAAACAACACGGATTCAGAGATTTCCGTGATGCTTAGAGAGTGAAAACGCTTAATTTCACTCGAGTCATACATTACCTGTCTGAAGCTCTGCATGCTGTGCTCAGCCTCCTCCTTCTGAGATGTCTCATCCTGCAACCTGCAAAGATAGACAAAAAACGTTCATTATTTTTTAAAGTGGATGTCACACTTTAACCTCAAAAACAGTCCTTGTTCTGGCTCGACCTCTTCATGCTTGCAAACATTGCAGTGACAGAGCTGCGGCAGCATTTTCAAGACCAGGATTTTGCGCAGTGCCCAGCATTTAGACTCAGCCTGTATGAAAGCCTATAATAAGTTCATGAATAAAAAGCAAGGCGTTAATTAAAATAGCGGATCTGCTTTGTAAGCCTGATACAACTATATCTGGAGTTTCTTTAACATCATTGAGTGCAGAAAAGTGACGAGCCACGCCTCCTACTTCTCTCTCAGCCTGTCGATGTCGTCTGCCAGGTTGTCCCGGTACACCTCCACCCGGGCCTTGTCGTTGGTGAGCTGGTCCACTTGGTGCCTCAGCTCCCGCATCTCGTCCTCGTACAGATCTCCCACCCGGGACGTACCTTTGCCCCGCAGCTGCTCCAGCTCTGCCAGCAGGATCTTGTTCTGCTGCTCCAAGAAGCGCACCTTGTCGATGTAGTTTGCAAAGCGGTCGTTGAGAGACTGCATCTGCACCTTCTCGTTGGTGCGGTTCGTCATGAACTCGCTGTTTATGGCCTCGGACAAGGAGAAGTCCAAGTTGTCAGAGGACAGCCGGGGCATGGCTGCGCTGCTCCGGAGCCTCTGCGTCTTGGTAGTGTACATGGTCGGGGCGGAGGAGAGCCCGTAGGAGACCCGGGTGGAGCGCACCGGGCTGGAGAACTGGCGACTGGAGTAGCTGCTCCTCGTCGCTACTTTCTCTCCGCCAAACATCTTTTTGTAGGAAGAATGTGGAACTCTGTGAGACATCTTGCTGGTTTATGTTCAGGTAATGGCTCAGTACTGCTCTTGTCCAAACTGCATCAGCGGAGTGCGCTTGGGAAGGCGTTTCCTACACCATTATTAATTTATAGTCTCCTCCTCATGCAAATTACTCTACGGTGACTTGAGTGACACCCTCACCATCCAAACAGAGAACAGAACAAACGAAGGTTTTCTTTCAGGTTCATAACAGATCCTGGATCACAAGGCAACACCGTCATTGGGCAGAATAAAGGGATGTGAATTGCTCTTTTCTTATTTAACATTAAAAGTCACATTAAAAAGGAGTTGAAATCACATTTGGGTCATCACATTGCTTTAAACAACACATGAGTGTCAGTAGATGCAGATTGGGTTATTCATGGTGTTTGAAAAAAAAATCTGTCCACAAATAATAGAAAGCACTAAACAAATAAGATAGTGGTCTCTTCTTCAAAAACGTTCTAAGTTTAACTTGGTATTTATTGGGACACAGAAAATGAAAATAAAAAGGTCACATTTAAATGTGTTACTCTGGGAGAGAAAAAGGTTTTCCCACGGCTTTGTCCAAGGAAACTTTAATTCTCCCATTCCAGATTTGAGATAATGCACTACTGACAATTGCTTCCTGTTACCTGATTCATCTGTTTAATCAATGTATTCCTCCCCTCGTCTCATGCTTTGGAGAGAAAATAAAATAAAATCACACACTCAACATGCATTTTTACCCTTCGTAGGTTTGTCCCATCTATTTTACGGAGCATTGTAACCGTTAGACTGCTCCAAATGCTCAAACTTTTGTTTTATTGGGTGTGTGTTCATATTAGTGCATATGATGTGTACTTCCTTTTGCGTATGTTAGTGAGAAAAAAAAAGGCAAGTCAGCAGTTTCACAATTGTTAATCAGGTTAAGAGGACATCATGCAAAGGACTGAACAGGCAAACATATTAATCCTGCTGACTCATAAGTATTTGATGATCACACACTCAAGAAATGTATGAAAACAGAACGTAACAGAGTTTTTGGTGGGGTACAAATCAAAGCCATCCAATACCTGCAGGTTTGTCTGTTTCTTATTAGTCTCTTTTTCTTCAGATTGACCTGCAGCAAATCACAAAACATACCAGATACTGTATATCAGATGAGACTCCCCTTTTCATTGTCTGTACTTATGTGGCTTTCCTTTCTCTTTCCTCTCCATACAGAGCTGTCAGTGCTGCAGTGCTGCTGACTAGCTGAGGGTCAGTGATTGTGAGGGGAGACGCAGGGCAGCAGATCTGAGACAGTGACACTACACCCCTCAGACACACTGCACTGGTGCTGCTGGGTCTTCTGTGCTCAGTGATGTTTTTCTTTGATTTATAGCACAGATACACAGATAACAGATATTTCTTTTAAAGTGGATTTCACATGTTTGCCTCGAGGGCTGCAGAGGTTTCAGGTTGGCACTGTGCCGATGATAAATGACTGTGCAGGGTTATCTTTGTGCAGCAGTGGCTGGAAAAAGTGCTGTGTTAAACATCAAGTCTTACTTTGTCTAAGCAAAATGGAGGACAAGTTAAAGGTTGTAGAGTGTAAATCCATATCCACGTATTTGCAAGAAAATGCCAAACATCCTCATTTGATGTTTCTCCTGTTGTATGCAGTGGCAAAAAAAGTATTCTGATCACTTTATTATCAGAGTAGAAAAACAGAATAACTAAACAGTTTTGCTCTAAAATAAATGCAGCGGAGTATTTACCTTAAAATGGGATAGAGTATACAGAGTAGCATACATGAAACTACATAAAGCACACAAACCTCATAATACATAAGTACAGTACTCCAGTAAATGTTCTTTCCACTACTGCTCGTATGCAGTAACTTTGGAAAATGCCAGCCAGAACATGGAAATGATTGGACATTATTTTTCTTTACTCAATGACATTAAGAAATCAATAAAGTAACACTTTCCAGAGTGTGCAAAGCGCCACTTAGAACAAGCTCTGAAGCTATTTTAGATCTAACTCTGTTGAGAAACAGTACAACAATAATCTTGTGAAGACTGAAGTCACGGGACAAGATATTCTAAAAGTGTGATTACAGGCACATCAGGGCTGTCGTAATATTAGTTTTTGCTCCCTTTTTTAGGGTTTTGGGGAGGGAGACAAAATGAGATTGGAGAGCAACGTAAAATAATTAAGATGTGCTGGATTATGAATTCAATATAAAAATATGTTGTTTTTTATTACACAATATAGATATTTAAACATTTTGGAATCATGGTTAAAAAAGGTAAAAACCTAATCAAAGATATTCTCTCTTTTCTCAATTTTGGTTGGTTAGGTTTGTGTGAGTTATGTTTATAAAACCCAATGTTTTTATATTTGTTTTATATTTGTTTTATATGGTATAGCATTGGACCAAAGAACTGGCTAAGTGTTGTGGTGGTTAAAAAAGGGGAACTCCCCTGATTTAACACAGCAACGGTCTGTTTACAGGTTTGTATGCAAATGCAGCAAAGTGAGGGGTGCAAGGACCTAAACAAGGGCTCAAGTCCAATACATAGAGGAATTACCTTTCGAAAGCAGGCAATGGAAAATCTCATGGTCAACACTCACTCAGAGGCAGGGGGGGCTGCACAAATTCCTGCTCCACGGCCCATTATGAGCCAGCGCTGCCGGTGTTTGACACAGAGATACAGGGGAAGCCGGGATTGTCACAGACAGAGCAGGGATTGTGTATTGCTGATCTGTCACCTAACTGCAGCGACAGAATGCAGACAGTAGGCCGTAATTATTGTTTGTAGCCCGGTGTTTGGCACTGCCATAGTTTAGACCAAATAGCTGTCATTCTTGGCAATGTTTTGAATGTATCGTTTGTCCTTTTATTTCTGTTGTTGGGGTTCCAGTTTCCCACTGAAGGCATACATTCTGCAGGGGAGCTCGTTAAAAAAATAATACAACAGGAATAGAAGAAGAATCAAATAAGGCAAAAATATAAGTCAGCCTGTAATGGGACAGGGCAACAGTTAAGTTCTTGTTTCTGGGTGTCATCGATTGAAAACCTCAAGCACTGGGCAGCAAAAAGGCTTCCTTTGTTCCATCTCCCATGATTGTGAATCACAGACCCTCGCGACCTGTAGCCATAGCAATGGTCCCAACTTTATTTAACAGCAATGAAGCCCAGACAGACACAGATTCCTATTCATGGACATGAACTATTTCTGGAAATAACATATTTATTTGTGTACAAGTTGCAGAAAAATATTGTTTGTACTCTGCAGTTTGCAACACTGTGCCCTTATTATACATTGGTTCGTTTTTTGTTTTGGTTGGTGTTTATTTTTGGTCCGATAAATTAGTCCTTTGTGGGTCATGACATGGTAGATTTAGTGGAGGGAGTGCTGCAGCACAATTGGGTTTGTAGCGCCTCAGTGAATGCATGGAGATGCTGAAGTAAATCTGAATGTGAGAAAGAAGGGCTGTATATCAATGCCACGGAGCACCAGCGAGCTTAAGCAAAGTCTGTGCCTTGATAAATTTTTATTGGTGGCAGAAATAAAAAGTTAAATAAATTGTAAAGGATTAAAGTAGTTCCCAACAAGTAATGGCTTTTAACAAAAAAGCAGCGTTGCATTTATGACCCTTGAACATTTCACAAGCCTATGAGTTGTTAACCCCTCATAACTCAGATGTTTTTTTTCAGATAAAAACATGTTTTTTGAAGGCAAAACTTTCAAATTGTTCCCCATCTAAGTTAGTGTTAGTGATCAACAACATGAGCAGATTAACGACGGCCGTTTATTTCGGGGAATATAGAGTTTTTTACACTGAATACCTTTCATCCAAATAACAGGGGAATTAGACTGCGGTGGCGATTTTCCAAATCACCATAGTGACCGACAAAACCCTTGGAAAGTATCCAAGAATGGCCGTTTTGCAAAGACCTCTCTCTCACTCTCTTTGTCTTCTCTTTCTTTGTCTCTCTCTGTGTGTGTTTGCAGGGTGTGATCGGGTCAGGGAACAGGAGGGATAACAGGGCAAGATAAACTTCCCAGCGTTTACCTCTGTCATTAGCACATCATATGTTGGCAAATGTACAGCATCAAATTCTCAAATGGATCATCCCTATGGCAAATCACACACTTATTTCAAGTATAGTGTCTGGCAACACCTATTTGGAGCCAGTCTTTCAGAAAGTGTCACTTACATATGTCTGACTGTTGCAGGAGGCATCTCCCTGGACGACTGACAGCTGCAGATGACACCTCTCCTCTTCTCATCTTCCTCAAGGTGAGTGGATAAAGAAAACACAAACCCTTGAAGTGTGAACGGAGAAAAATAAATACACATACGATACCTGTGTATAACTCACCATTACAATTTTCTTTCCTTACTCTGACAATTCCTTACCTCTTTTTGACACTTTGAGATGGTCATATAGAGATATTAAAGAGAAATCCTTCTAGGTTTGGGGCCAGAGTTGTGACTTTAACTCTAAAAAGAAAAAATATTGTCCAGGCCTATAAGACTCATTCAAAATTCACGTGCTACTCTTAGTTAATACCCGTATTAAAGTCATATGTCACCACAGGCCAGAGATGCTTATAGGCAATCATCATAAATGGGTTTATTCTAACAAGATGTATCTCGCATCCACATTTAAAAAAAGGGGACAAAAAGATTGCTGTTGAGAAAAGCCTTTAGTGAATACACAAAATGCATTACTGCAATCAACTTTGCAATAAACCTCTAACTAGCTTCAATTGACTGTTTGGCTTCTGCAGTGACTCAAGCCATGAAATCAGCTGATGTAATGCAGTTGAAAAATATTCACGGCTGTTTGTTTATTTGTTCATAACCAATTTTTATAAATATAATAAACCAGCTTTTATTTTTCTTTAAAAGTAGTATGTTGTATATCGGGTTGAGGTTGAAAGTGGGTAAATTAGATGAGCTTAGTGCTTACTAATTATGACACTCAGAAACAAACCTCTTAAAGGTAGGGTAGGTAATTCACTTCAGAAACACTTTTTGTTATATTCCATGGAATGCTCTTAACATCCCGATAGCAATGAATACATTAAATGCTTTGACAATAAATATATACAAATATGTCATCTGTGGAAGCCGTAGCACTGTAAAAAGCAAGACCAATTATCTGCCTCGGCCCGGCTAAAATAACTGGATGGCCTACCTGCCTGTCAGCCTTCGATCTCGTGCCCTCATTGGTCTTGTGCGCGTTCGTGTGTGTTGGAGGAGTGGCTCTGGAAGTCTGAAGGAAGGGACAGATCTTTCTCGGTTGTGTACTTTCAAATTCAAGCGCACTCGAGCTGGTTTCTCCATTCTTAACTACCCTACCTTTAAGCTTACTTAACACGTTACAAGACCAATTAAAAGTTTAACTCAATTGTCAAACAGTGCTTTATCAACACATCCAGCAAAATATTTTAGCAACATTAATAATGGGAGTTATCTTTAAGCGTTGTAATATCTGGCAGTTTTTAGCATACATCTGGGACACTGGGGTAAGTCTTCACTCTCTTAAAGATAAGCTAAGCTAACTGTGGATGTTTGACACGTTTACAAAAGGTAATTTTAAAACACTTACCGGTGGTTCAATTGGAAACGTGCGAGACTCTTATAATCAGATGGGTGTAAAGAAATCCTGTTTCAAGTATTATTGTAAAAAAAAATGTCCAACTTGAGATTCTGTTTACTATCCAGGTAGTTTTTCTTTATACATCCATGAGGTAGCCGACAGGTGGAAGCCGCCATCTTTGTTTTGATTTGGGACTTGAGTTGCAACTTTTATATGGCAGCAAGGGAAACAGGTAAATAATCTTAATCACTCAGCGGACGGAATTTATTTTCTTACAGGTGAATAAACGATAATTGTATCCGGATAAGTATGTACTTAGACATATTAACAGTTGTGTTAAGTAACTAGTGATGGCGAGATGAAGCCTTATGAAGCTTTTTAGCTTTCCAGCCAATTGGTTCGCTAAAGGCTTCATCTCATGAGGCTTAATTAGAGCACAAACCCCCCTGTTGGTCAAAGTGTGTAAAACAGGCAGATATGACATCTCAACAGTGTGCTCTTTCTTATACTGAGTTCCCAATGACTAAAGCCTTATAATAACTCTAAACCAGTGGTTCTCAACCTTTTTACACCAAGTACCACCTGAGAAAATAGTTGGCTCTCCAAGTACCACCATATGACCAATGTTAAAATACAGGCCATGCAGGACTCGGAGGCAAATGTTTTCTCTCTCTCTCTCTCTCTCTCTCTCTCTCTCANACCCACATCGTAACAGAAAATGTCCTATTGGGAATTCAGTTCCACAATAATAATGAAGCCTCCAGGAGCAGATGAGCCTAAGGGCTAATAGCTCATCTTCAGTCTGCTGATGTTTGCTATTGCCATTTCTGTGGTGGCAAAGTAAAAAAGAAAAGAAAAAAGACAACAATTAAGGACAAGTGTGTGCTTTTTCAGCGTTTGACCTCGGTCACAGCCCTCTCTCCATTATTTGAGCAAATGCCTTCTTCCTGAGTCACTTCTCTCCTCCATCACAGCGGCTGTGCATATCACTTTTGCGTTGCTTGCGGAGCCTGCGCTTGTGCTCGGTTGATGACTGTCCTCCTCCTCATTCACTTGTTCACTTTCGCTGGTAATATTTTTCGCTGGTAATATTTTGTTTTGAGCCACGTTTTTAACATCATTCAGCTTTCTTCTTTCTTTAGCTTGTTTGCAACGTTAGCGGGTAGTAAGGTTGTAATTAGCAACGCCAGAAATAAAATAAAAAGAATGTTTTCGTTTCTATATCTAAAAACAGCAATAGCCTATTAGAACTAATTTAAACCACAGTTTCAATTATCTCAAGCTTATTTTCATTCGTTGTAGTATTTTGATAGTATGATTTATTTTTGTATTAATGTTATTCAATCAAGCCTCAAACTGATGGCACTTTCCCTATAGCCTGTTTTAAATTGAAGTTGTCTGAGGTCCTTACCATCAGCTGCTCTTGCAGTAATAATAGTGTACCTTAATGCCCCAAATGTGCACAATGTAGTGACTGCTTTTCGTCTTTTTGTTTACTTAGTTGTGTTTCCTGTATTTTATATGTCTGTGTTATGTGTAAAGGTTAAAGGTGGGGTAGGTAAGTTTGAGAAACCGGCTCGAGATACACTTTTTGTTATATTCCATGAATGCTCTTAACATCCCGATAGCAATGAATATCTTAAGTGCTTTGACAAAAAATCCATTAAAAAAATGTCATCTGTGGAAGGCTCTGTAAGGAAGTGGCATATTTTTTCCGGTTGTGTATTTTAAAATTCTAGCTCACTCGAGCTGGTTTCTCCAAAATTACCTAGCCCACCTTTGAATAAAAAAAAATAAAAAAAAATTAATCTTTTTTTAATTTATTTTTTATATGTCAGATTCCTCCACGTACCACTAGCGGGAGCTGGCGTACCACCAGTGGTACGCGTACCACAGGTTGAGAACCACTGCTCTAAACAATTAACAGGAAATCATATTTTCATTTATTCAAGTTGTATCAATATTGTATTTATTCCTGTTGAATGAGTGTGATTGAAAAGCCTAAGGAGGCTGGTAAACATTCCAAAGAGGGATTTTTATTCCTTAATAACATTCGTAAACGTAACCATGTTATAGCCTTAGAAAGGTTAAACAACATCAAATAATACATGTATTAGCTATTACATTAAGCTGATGCTTTTATGAAAAAAAAAAGACAAATTGACCGGTCGTTGAACCAGGCACCCTGCGGTTGAAAGTCAACATGTCTTCAAGCTGACAACAGAGTACCTTTTTGTTTTACTGGAGGCCAGCCTTAGCTAGACTACACCTCCGGGGACGCAACAAAAAAAATAGTTGATTAATTATTAAATAATGAATATTATATTTTAAATAAAAATGAGTAACAATAAAAATATCCCAAAAAAAATTCAAATAAATAAAATATTAATACAAATGTAATAAATAATATTAAATAAAAACATTAAATAAAAAATATCATAGTACAAACATAATAATAAAAAATAATAATACTATTATGAAATTATAATATTAAGAAAAAAATACAAATCAAAAATCAATACAAGACGTAGGTGTGGGTGTGCCATGGGTAAAATAATGTTCACAAACCTCCGAAGGACGCCCCACCACCTCCGAAAGATTTAGTAAATACAGATCTAAGCAGCAGACCACAAATCCAGAGTATGGCAGTATGTTTCAACTGTGTAACCATCCATCAACACTGTATTTTTGGTGGGAATGCGTGTTGGAGAAATGTCTTTCAAAATAATTCAATAATTACACAAAACAAAGAAATAATATAAAAAAAGAACAATAAACAATGACTTTTACTACAAGATCTGAATACTTCTTCCACCTCTAGATCTTAAGACTGATGGTTACCTCAATGACCCAGATTAATCTTAATCAGATACAAAATTATGCTAAGTGAAGTATGCTAAACTAACCGCAGACAATGTGAATAAACACACCCGATCCTCCTATAAATGAAGTACTTTTAAATGTACCTATCATGTAGTACTTCTCAGCCCATTGCCTAATGTGGCTCTGTATGGAGCTTTCCAAAGAAAGAAAAATTGATGATGCCCTGAAACAGAACACAGCCTTGTTGAGTTGAGTTGGATTGAAGCCCTTTTCTAACTGTTACACAACACAATTAAAAAAATGAAACATGCTTTATTAAATCAAAAATCTTACAGCTAAAGACATCTGAAGCTGAATTTTGTTTTCACAGAATAATCAGATCTCAAATGCCACACAGTAGTCCCTTTGTTTGATATCTGAAACATGCATTGCACACAGATAAAGAACCCAGACAGCGATAAAATCAAATATACCTATCAGAATAATCTGGTTTACTTGGCATAATAGTATCTGATGTATTGCATTATATTCAATAAGAAAATGATCACCTTTAATACTTGCAACAACACTTTATACAGTTATGTACAGTCAGGAGCACTGAATCAATAACCCAAAACGTTTGTAGTTGCTGCTACTGTTATTTTGACATTAACTAATAAGAGGCACAACTCTCTTCAACCACCACACATACAGTATGTAGGTCCATTGACACAGTTTCTTGTCTTCTTTTTCGTTCTATAGTATGGGACAGTATTCGCCACATCTCATTCGTAGTCTGTCAAGGGATTCCTGTGCCTGAAATACATTCCCTCCTCCACTAGAGGTCGGTATTGCCATTGTCCCAGCCGAAGACTCCCCCTCAGGATGGACTTTTCTGTCTGGATATTTAAACTCAACTGATGCAAATGAAGAAAGACTACCATTTTTTCTGGTCCAGGTTCTGGAAGTGTCAATTGTAGGTGATACCCTGAAGCCTCTCCCTTTGTCACTGCTTGTATCTTTCCCCCTACTTTGTTCACTGAAATTCTGCAAAAAGGGGTCAGAATCGCTTCCATGTGGCATGTTGTAGTAGGTGCACTTTGGAGTTAGAGGCTTCGCCATCTCCTCGAGCTCTGATGAGGAAATGCCTGCAAGAAGGTCTTGCTGGGGCGGGACATCCTCGCAATTTTTTTCGTCACCTGTGTCGATAGATGTGCTATCTAACTGATCGTACATTCCCAGCAAGACTGGAGGAGATTTTCGGATGAGGTGATTCTCTTTGAGCAGCCATCTACCTTGGTCGATCAAAACCCCTTCAGGTGAGTCCTTCTGCGGCGTGGAAGACATGCTCTCTGCGGCATTATCAGCGTCCACCTTCTGTGAGCTTCCAGCACTGAAATACGACAGATCCTCCTTTGAGTTTTTACTGCCTGAGAAATCAGAGGATGAACTTCCCACACTTTTTATTTGAGAATTCGGCGAAACTTCTATATTACTGTCATCAGAAAGGTTGGAGTTGGCTCCCTTGACATGTGTTCTCCCGTCAGGGGTGCATCCTGGAGAAACCTCTTCTCCGCTCTCTGTGACAATATCTACCGAATCCTGAGTTTTATATCCACCACTCTCCGACGATTCTGGCCTGTAATCGGACAAATCGGAGGTGGTCGGGGATGGCAGACGCTTTAAGCCATATGAAGGATCCTTGTTATATATTGGAACAACAGTTTTATTTTGTGTTACTCTAGCATTATCTGGCTCTATCCGGATTTTCCCCAGAGTGTCGTACGTGAATTTAAGTGAAGAGCACTGCAGGGCGTTGTTAACAAAGTCAAGCAATTCCTGTGATATCTCCACTGGGTGTTCCTGAGGCTCCCCTCCCTCGTCGGTTTCAAGTTCATGAACAGTGTCTGTCCCATTACCTTTATTATCCTCACACTGGCCCTCAGAGGAATGTTTGGTTGATGATCCAGTGTTAGGTTCTGTTACCTTTGAATCTACATTTGCTTCATCACAGCTACTCTGCGACAGCAAATACGAGGCCTCCTCTAGTACGTTTTTACAATCTCTGTCCGCAGCAATACTGTCTGCTTCATCAGTAGCATTTTCCTCCATTAACTCAACCCCCTCATGTACCGCATTCCTATCTTTTTCTTCATCATCTTCCCTCTCCTCTTCATCTAGCATTTGCTCTGTTCTTATATGTTCTTCAATCTCCTCCACGACGTCTTTCTCTTCCTCTGATTCTTCCTCAAGACTAGTTTCTTTTAACTCGTTCCTGCTCTCCTCACTCTCCTCACATGCTTCTTCCTCCCCATCCTCCACAGTCTCTTGAGATCTATCTTTCCCCCCCTCATCTTCCTCCTCCTCATTGTTTTCCTCACTAACCACTTCGATGTGGTCCTCTTCCTCATCTTCCTCCTCCTCATTGTTTTCCTCACTAACCACTTCGATGTGGTCCTCTTCCTCATCTTTTCCCCCCTCATCTTCCTCTTCCTCATCTTTTCCCCTAAAAACATCATCATATTCCTCCCCCTCCTCCCCCTCCTGTATAAGCCCCTCCTCCTCCCCCTCCTGTATAACCCCCTCCTCTACATCTTCCACAGTAACTGAGTCTGTTGCTTCTTCCTCCTCCTCTTCCACCATCTCTTCAAATATATGTTCTGCTTCCTCTCCTTTATCTGACTCCTCAATAACCCCATCTGCCTCTTCTTCAATCTCGTCCCCTTGCCTCTCTTCAGTTATCCATTCCTCCCCCCTCTCTTCCTCATCAACCCCCTCCTCCTCCTCTTCCTCTGTCTCCCCTTCACCCTCTCTCTCATCTGTTTCCTCAACAGTATCCTCCTCTCTTGTTTCTTGAATTTCTTCTAATGTCTCCTCCTCTTCCTCCTCGTCCACTGTCATATGGTTCTCTGTCCCTTCCTCTACTTCCTCAACATCTTCCTCTGAACACCCTTTCCTCACTTCTGATTCTTTCTCCTCTTCATCATCCACTACTGTCACTGTCCCCACTTCTGCCTCGTCCCTTTCTCCCTTTTCAGTGTCTTCACTGTCATCATCTCTGTCATTCGTGAGCTTCCTCTCCTCCTCTACTTGTTCCTCTTCCTCCTTTTCTTTGTCTGTTAAGTGCTCATCTGTCTGTGATGTTTCTGAGTCTTTATCGGGTTCTTTCTCTGACTTGGTTTTCTCCTTGGCTTGTTCAGAATAAAACGGTGATTGCAAGGTACCTATCTTTGCTATATCATGACCCTGAGAACTGTCCTCAGCTCTGGAGTTAGTATCAGGCTCTGGTGATTCTTTTGTTACATCGTTGCATTCTTGAACAAATTGTTCAACATCCTCCTCAGAGTCTGACTGTGTTCTTTCATTTTCTACACAAGAGCTCTCCTCTACAGGGTAAAAACATTTAGTCTGGTGGATTGTTGAAGAAATCTCTGCTCTGAGATCTTGTGGCATATTCAACTCATCCATTAGCTCTTCAATATCTTCGAACGCATCCCCTCCTTCAGAAGAAAGGTCCAGCGCAAATTCTGTTTCTGAAGCTTTGACAGATATCGGTTCACTTTCTAGTCTTTCTCTCATAATCTGGAAATCCTTCCAGCGTTCTCTGAAAGTAGAAGATGTTCTGCTGTGCATATCCGTCAAACTTGCCCTCTGCCCTCCCTCGTCCTCGGGAGCGGAAATTCTTTGCAGTGACTCCAACGTCAGCAAGGCCTCCGAGGTGCTCGATTGGTTGCCATCTCTCGGCGCAGATGTTATTTGGTTGTCTCGTAGAGTCACCACTGATAAGAACGATACAAAGGCTTTACATGACGAGCCAAACACTCCAGCCACTTGTTTTGAGAAATCAGGAAGACTGCTGGATCTTTCTAGGTTGGATGTTTCGTTGGTTTCAGATGCACTTTTGAGGCAGTGAATCGAAGAGTAAAGTTCCCGCAGGAGAGGTACCTTTGTGTCCAAACCCTTGGGTGTCGATGAAGGTGATTCATTGTCAACTGTTCCGAGGATTGCTGCAGATTTGTTTGGTCTCAATCTGTTCTCGTTGGACACAAGATCGACTCTAACACTGGGCATTGAAGCACATAGCCCTCTTAGAGGTCTTTCATTGCGCCACTGAGCTGTAGCTTCATTCAAATAAGATACTGATAGGCAAGAAACTGATTTCTCGATGTCATCACTTAGATTGTACCCATCTGGATTTGCCTGGCATTCATTCTTTTCATCGGAATCAGAATCATCGCCGATCTGAAACACAACCTTTACCCGAGGCTCTGTGAGTTCCTCCTCAGTGTATGGCACAGGGTCTGGGTTGACTTTCTCTAACCAGTTCTCCACATATTGGTGGATTTCAGTGGGTGAAGGACTGACAGTAGGTACTGAAAAACTCGCATTTACCACTAAAGACTTTTTAGATGATGGTACGTTTTTTTCATTCATGGATTTTGCCTTACTTATTGTCTTTCGGAGTGGCACCGGTGCTTTCTTTGGTTGAAAAATGTCTGAGATGTTCTTCTTCATTTGAGGCCTCACAGTTGGAGTATCTACATTATGGCCATTAAATTTAGCAGCTGTTTTACTTATGTTTTGTCTCTTAGGCGGGGACTTTCTCACATTTTCATTGTCAAATAATGAAGCTTGCTCTTTCCCAGGCTTTGTTTCACCCTTACCCACTTTCTTAATTTGAGGCTTTTCTGTTCCTTTACTCTTTTGTCCACTTTTAGCACTTTCAGATGAACTCTGAGTATTTCTGACCACACTTGTATTGCTGCTCTGCTTGTCTGTAGATGAATGTTTGCTATCTTTTGGGGGGCTGACTATGCTTCCTTTTAGCTTTTTGTCCGAACCACTTGTTGAAGTGGAACTCTTCGGATTCTGAGCAGTTTTACTTGTCTTCTTCTTTGTCTCTCTTTTAGGAGTATTGCCTTTTTTTACTCTATCGTGTATTTGGGAGTTTGTTGCAGTAATCTCACGTCTTGAAGTTATTGGCTCTGAAGACAATGATAACATCTCCTCTTTCTGTCTTTTTCGTGAGTTAGAGGTGTGTGGCTGCCCGCTAAAATCAATATCACAATCATTGCTGGATGACGGTTTGCTTTCTGCCTCTGGAGGAGAGCCATGCAAAGGCCCACCGTCTGTGCTATATTCGTCATTTGCAAAATAGTTGTCGTAGCAGGGTTGACTCTCATAAATATGCATCACAGTCTCTGTAACCTCCATCCCGTTACTCTGTATCTGAAGCACCTCGGCTACTCCTGACGAACTGATGGAGGAGGGCGAGCCTTTGCTGCTTGCTTCTGAAGACTTTGTTTGCCTAGTTCTTGGAATTAGCCTGTTGCTGCTGCTGCTGCTGTGTTTTAAAACGCAGTATTCCTCACTCGTCTCACCATCAGCTGTCCTCTCTATGTAGGAATAATGTCCCATGGTGTTTTCCCGAACTCCCGATTCTGTCACCGTCTTTACACTCTCAAGAGACGCTCTCTTCGTAACGCGCAGAGGACCTGGTGTAAGAGTTCGTTTGAAACCAGTTTTTCTAAAAGCCGTGGAATTGTAGCCTTCACATGCTTGCTCATCATTAAAGCCAACTCCCTTTCCAATCTTAGAAGTATGGTTCTTCTCTTTTGATTCACCTTCACTGACGCTAGAGGACCCTTTGGCAACGATGTTGTTTGAGTCAGGTGAGCTGTTGCCCGGCTCAGATACCGAGGCACTAATTGTCCCATTCCTAAGGCTTGAGCGGCTGAGCGTTGTAGTCCAGTGGAGCATCTCCTCTTCTTTAATAGTCAGTCGAACTTTCATCTCCACGGTCATGCTGCCGTCTTGATTGACACGGAAAGACTTTTCAATGTCATCATCATGAGGTACAATGCGAGTATGAGAGTCATTATCAGCCATCCCAGCTCCACATTTGTCCTTGGATGTGGGATGATGTTCGACCTCGGTTTCAAATGATCGGTTGTGCTGATTCAAGGGACCGCTTGTGCTTCCATTTATGGACTTGTTTATCTGGTTGACAATATGTCTCTCTGAAGATAGGGAAAAATTCCTTGAGCCTCTTCCACTCGAGAAAGATTTGTTGTTGACTTTGGTTGAAGGTGTTTGTGGAAAAAGGGGAGAGCCAAAGAGACGTTTTCTTAATTACATAAGAAAAACACCATAGCGTATTCATATTGGTTTGTTAGTAATATTTTAGGAACATTTTTGCTTTTTAATTTACTTTTAAGGGGTAAATTATATCTGACATCAGTACAAATAAAACAAACATCTGTCACAATTTACCACAATAAATAAGATTATATTTTTCTTTTTCTCAATTTGAACAACTAAAGGACTATCTTAGTTAAAGGTTCCCTATTATTATTTAGCAGAATAGGTGATCTTTAAACAGCTTTGATTGGTTTATAAGATGAATGTACATGTTTTAAAGCATAAGAGTGGTGACTTGCAATTACTGTCCAAACGATCCTACCGTATAATAACCACAGGGACTTTTACATAAAGATTGTAATATGTCAATTGACTGATTAAAACTCACCAGTTCCGGGCTGCAACGGCTCCACAGGATCAATGTACATTATTTGAGCCATCTGGCCAGCTCCTTGAGAACTGTAGTCTCTCAATCTGAATGGCTCACTGCCTGCTGCTACAACAACTCCAGAGCACAGGATAAGTCCTGCAAGACCATCAATCTGAAAAAGGAACAGAAACACATTTTTAAATGCACTTATATATTGCACTCAGATAGAAACATATTGTTGGAAAACAAACAAAATAAAAAGACCATCAAAGATAACGAGGTATTTCTGGAGAAATAGGATGCTTTTAAGGTTACTGAGACTCATGAGCTTAAGCAGGAAAAGGCTTCCTGTTAAGGACACATCCTGGAAAAAGGGATTATGGAGTGATAACTCACTGCTTAGAATACTGTAATGTTTAAAGATTTAAAGGGGGGAGCCTTGGTTCTGTATTCCTGAAATACCACTTATAGTTTAAATTAAGAACATAATATTTAATGATAATAAATAAGGCGGTTGTAAATTGTAAATTAACTGAGTATCACACACTATTTTTGGGGAATTTTTTTTTTTAAACTGAGATTTTAAAAGAACAAACTTCAATATACAGTAAACTCAGTCAATCTGCTTATAGCTAGACAGACTATTCTATTTTAGTAACCCAGACATTTACATAATATAGTCTTAAATCCCCTTAAATAGAAAGTACATTCAAGGACAACTTTTCCTCCTTTTTGGTTGAGGGAGGTATAAGTGGAGGTCAACAATCCTTGCTAAACCGCAACCACTTTGAGTAATCCAATCAAATCTCAAGGACTTCTTTTAATTCTACAAACTAAACCTGGAGCCTGTGTTGTCGTTCACTCAGAATAACATCACATTACTGAAGCCAAAGGGGCTCCAACATTAGGTTTACTTGGACTTGATAAAAAAAACATTTAGTTAAATATGAGTATGTGTTTTTCTGCAGAGAGTAGGGTGAGAATATTATTCATAACTGGGACGTGAGACACTTGTTTTTGCCGTTTGTGGATTATTAGGTTATTGAAGTCTCAGCCATGTGCATCAGTTTTTTCTGTCACCTGGAAACTAAAAAGTGTTTTTTCTCAAATTTGTTCATGTGTAGTTAAATTGATGTTTTTGTGTGTTGTTAAATTGGTGAACAGGTGAAATGTTTGCTTGTGTTTTCTTGGTTTGCAATACATTCAGCTCAGTGCCACCGTGCGAAACAGCTGGCCTTCCAATGACTGAAGGAAACACAATCCTCCTCCAAACACCTCTAAACCTTACTGATTCCCCCATGGTGTCTTATTCTGTAAAAAACAAAACAATGGAAAACTAACAATTAGCAGTTTGTAGTGGTGTGAAGGACGTAGCTGGTCGCAGTAACTTTCTGGAGTCTAGTTGCTTGCCTGTTACACATCTTTATCCTAAACTAAGCTAACAGGCTGTTAGTTCCAGCTTCATGATGATTGGAAAGATGACTAGTATCTATCTTCTCAGCTAACTCTCGTCAAGAAACCAATATTAAGCGAATATTTACCAGTAAAAACGTAATGCAGAACAGGTAATGAAATACCAATAGCACAAAAGAAGCTGTTTAATTATCATTGATGATCCACGCTTTCCATGTACTTACTCTTCTGCCATCCGTAGAGAAGAGTTTCAGCACTGGGAACAGCAGGCTCTGGGAGAGGTAGTCGAGTAAAGCATCGAATGTTGGTGCTGTTTTTCTCTGCAACACGATTGTGCGTTTAACATTGGGGTCCTTATTTTTGATGACCACAAGCCTCTTTGGTGTCCGAACTGTCACCCTCTTTGGGACAATGTTGGTGACAACATCATTTCTTCTTTTTAACGGACCAAGCCTGGATCCTTGTCGTCTTTTTCGCCCTGCGCTGGGGGGTCTGGTGGTATTCCATGGTACCTGCCGCCGGTTCACTTCTTCCAGGTTTATCGGCTTCACCCGTCTCTGGTCAGAACACACATACGATCCCCCGTCATGTAAGTCATCTAAAGTCTTAACCACAGTGGTCCCACGAGGCGTGGTGATGTTCCTCACTCCAAATGGCAGAGGCACTTTTTTTGACAGAGCGTCCAGGAGGGCATCAAATGACTTGAAGGTGCGGGCATTGATGACCATGCGATGCCCATTGAACTTATAGTCACCGCTTTTGTAGAAGCATACTCTTTTAGAAGCTGAGGGGTCAGAGATTGGCTGCAGGGGTCTAAAGGGTAACGTCTGCCCACTGCCGTAGGATCCTTCCTGGGCAGATGTCTCCTGGGAAAAGGGCTCCTGGGCAGGAGGCTCCTCAACAGGTGTGGCGCTCATATTGAGTGGGGATGGCTAGTAATTAAGATAAAGGAGAAAACTAATTAGTTTTTATGTGTGCTTTGTTCAATGCATGTACTATTATGCTATAGGTAGAGTAATGAGTTATAGAGTATTAGGAAGACTTTAGAGCTTGTCTACTCAGTAAAATGCAACCACTTGACTTAAAGGTCCCTTATTGTTTTTCATCAATATATTCAGGTGATAAGGTGGGCGGGGTTACCTTGGTTGGTTATTGGCTAACGGTTAGACAAGCCAAAAAAATCGTTATGACATCATAAAGTGGCCATAATCTGATCAGCTCATTTTCAGACAGGTTTTAATATAAATGGATCAGGACAAAAAGAGAGGGGGTCTTTTTTCCTGAAACTTTCAGAATCTCTTTACACAGAGGGGAGACATGCTTATGTATAAAAGATAGGAAAAAGTGGATTTTGCATAATAGGTGACCTTTAAAGATCGTCCAGTTTGTTACTCCATTTTCTTTCGGATGTTATTAAGCTAACGTGGTAAAAGGTCAGATTTACATTTAAATTCAGCATTTTTAAAATAATCAATAAAGTAAATCAAAAATGTAGGTGCTTATAAAAGTAGAACTAGGAAAACCCCTCAGCTAGAAGTAAAATATTATGACTATGATTATGTATGTTAAGATTCAATCAATGAAGGGCTATCATCATCTCTGAATGGTAAACAGACAACACTGTATCTACTGTTTGTTTAGGAACAAAGTGAACTAGACACATGTGCATATGCTAAATAATTGCTGTCATACTGAGTGGTGTTTAAATGACATTTATAAATATATACTATAGTAAACTAAATAATAATTGCACAATGATATTTAAAGCTGCCATGCATATATGACATACAATTTTCTGTTACATTTTTTTTTTTTAACGTCTTTTGTAGTTTGTATTAATGCAATATTTGATTGTTTTGGTTATTGACATTATAGTTGTATAATATCATTAGTTCTAAACATTGCACTATAAAAAGAACACCATTTGTACATTAAGAGATAACAGGGGTACAGAGCCTCTGTTATTTATTATATATTTTCATAACTCGCATAATAAACAAAAAGAAAAAAAATAGTTAACATTGTATTAAATACTCAATAATGTTTCAATACAGGTCCTACATCAGTCTTTTAAAAGTAATAATAACCCTTTCTTACTTTGAACCACACAAGAAGTAACTAGATACAAACACAGATTTAGACCAAGGCCACACACAGGAAACATAGCAAGAAATCCGTATGTAGATCTTTTCTTTTTTTAAACTAACTTGTAAAGAAATATGTCAACAGAAATGGAGATGAGACTTACCATGTTTTTCACATTTCACCTATATTATAGTCGATAAAACAACAGCAAAGGGAGCACCCGTCATTCCTCCGAGCGCTCGGTGAAAGCCTCTCAGCGACGTTTGAGGGCTATTTTTGGACATGCAACATCATGACCAATTTGCCTAATCTTTGCTCACACTTTATCAGCATATCAAGAATAACAAAGGAAGGATTTTTTTCAGTTTAACATTCAATAATAAATTCATGGTTATATTGTTAATATTGCATATTTTTCTCTTTTGTTATTTGCTCTAAAAGATAAAGTGAGACAGTAACTGGGTGAAAAGGATTAGTGAGCAACAGATGAATTAAAGAGAAGAGTATGGAGACAGTCAAAGTTAATAAATGTTTATGAACTTTTGAGATAAAATGAAGTATCTAAACAGAAACCACGGGTGGCTAGGCCTGTTTCTAGTTAGCAAGTGGCCTGCATAATCAGATTTGAAAAGTCTTGCGCTAATAGGGATTAGGTTAAAGAGTGTGCGCACTTACTGACAGCCCAAAGTAGAATAAGGTCTTAAGAAAGCACTTTTACCTCACAGCAGGTATTGGAAATCCACCATCAGACTTTTAAACAAATAAAGTATCAGTATTTGCACGTATGACATACTCAGAATTAGAATATCTTTATTAGTGCGACAGAGGGGAAATGTACATTGTTACAGCAGAAAATAGCCAAAGACAGCTTAATGTTACATAAGCATGCATAAAAAAGTATTAAAGATACAAAAATTATAATAAAAAAAGTTACACAATTAACAATACACACCCTGTAACAGTTCTGAGGATTTAGCATTTTAAACAAAATTGACCATCATTTTGAAGCTTTTTATCAAAACGTTGAAGGTTAACACTTCAAACACTTTTATTCAGTGCCTAAGGATTTAATTGCATCATGTGGTGAGAGCTGTGTCGCTATACTAAAGTTACCAGACAGTGTCCCAATTACAAACTCTGACTGATTCAACAGCTGCTAATACCTCAACATGAAGAAGCTGGAGACTTGCTGTCGTGGTCATTGGAGGAAGGGCCTGTGGAGGTCCGATACTTGTATCAATGTGTTACCATTAGCTCTTATAACTGATCCAATATTATGTTAATTTCAGGATAGTATTTTACCTTTTTTTAGTCTTTCAGTAAAGGCCGAATGTATATTTTATTTAATGTTATGAGCAGCACATTGCATTGTTTTGCTTAGTTCAATAAATCTAATTATTTGGAGTGATTGCTCAACCTTCAATCACTAGATGGTAATGTCACATGCTAATCTGGTTGGATTACTAGGACCCAAATTAGCAATTAAATCAGTGCCATCTAATTGTGTAGTGGCCTAGCTGCTGCTCAAAGGTCACAGGCTTGATCTAAACAACAGCCATGCCTTCATCAAAAGCTGTAGGTCCAACTAATGGCCGGTAGCAACACTAAAGCTGACTCACTAGCTGTCAAGAACTCTATAACAACAACAACAACAACAAAGTACACTATCCTTCTGTTTTTGGCTGTTAACTGACTGTTATGATCTCTGGTTAACCAAAAGGTGATATTTTCCTCTTTTTTTTAGAGGACTTGAAAGGTAATTTAAACTTGTAATTATCAAGAAAAAAATCAAACATAAGAGGAATGTCTAGAAAAATAATTGTACATTGTCAATGGCATGCAATGCAAACATTTCCCAGATTGGGATCAATAAAGTACTTCTTATCTTATCTTATAATGTTATTCATCTCATCTTATCTGTTTTTAAATGTTTTAGCTGATTGGTGCTTAAATTGTATTAATATCATTGCCTGAATGTAACTTTCCTTCTCTCCACGATGCTGGCTTCATGACATTCTGACAGATTAAAAAAGTATGTCTTCTTCTTCTTCTTTTTCTTCTAAGCTTTTGTCCTGCTGAGCGGTGCTGTCTCCTGTTCTGTCTCTTGTCCGTGGGTTTGCTATCCTGGCTCCAAAATGGTGGAATGAGCTCCCCATTGAAATCAGGACAGCAGAAAGCTTACACATCTTCCGGCGCAGACTGAAAACTCATCTCTTTCGACTTCACTTCGAGCGATAGAATTACTAACAAAGCATATATACTAATAAAGGACTGGCTTATCTAAAGCCAGTTGAGTAGCACTTGAAATGTTTGGCTCTATGAAACCTGATGTACTTATATGATTCTGTTTTCTTCAAGGTTGTATCTTCCTGGTCGAATGTACTTATTGTAAGTCGCTTTGGATAAAAGCGTCAGCTAAATGCAATGTAATGTAATGTTATATGTGTATATGCCGTACATTTGTGTGTGTTTTAATGGCAAATTTAACATCAGGTCGAGGGACAAAAGTTGAAAATNAACACATTTTAAATATAGTTAGACATATTAAAGGTAATTTACAGCATTCATAATTAATATCTAATTCTTAACTGTGAATGGTTTTCATTTATTTAACATTAGAAATGTATTAGTCTGGCCAATCCAAGACTTCAAAGCTGAAGGGCCAATGGATCTATGGTGGGGAGACAACGGATGACCAAGAAACTAGTGACTTGCTCAATTCATTTGTGAGGGATCTGTGAAGAACAACAGCTGTACTACTGGTGTTTTGTATACCAGCAATTGAGGGTGGACAAGTTTACTACCACTTCAGTTTCAAATAATTCTGTTAATTACTTATTGTAAAGCATTTGAACATTCTTTTGTGTCACATGTTCATTATTAAGTTGATGTATAACTGTATAGTATCTTAATTATTTAAAATATAAGGTGTCTACAAATGGCAACCCGGACCGTATTTTCAGTGTTGGCAACCAAAGGCTGATGCCTGGTTGCCAGCCTGGCAACCACTTTTAAAAGTTAGCGTTGAGCCATCTATTATTATATTGTTATGCTATATGATGATTTACAGAACTACAATAATTGGGGCTAGCAACGTTAACGCTATAACGATAAATCTGAAATTCTGTAAATCATCATATAGCATAACAATATAATAATAGATGGCTCAACGNGTGTGCCTTGGCAGTATCTCTACTTCTGACTGTGTGCCAGTTCCAGGATCTTTAACACACCTCTGCGGTCATCTTAGCCATCCGCTCAGGGGACACATTCCCGCAGAGCACTGTCCTCCTTAAATTCGGGTTCTTTACGTCCTTTAAGTTCGAGATTCGGCTCCGCACACGGTTCTTGTATCTCATGTCTGTGTTCTTAAACTCTTGAAAGATAAGTGATAGCAAGTCAAGGAATACAATGTTGCAATGTGTTTAAAAAAAGATAATAATCTGGAAACTTTAACGTGACAAAACATGTTTAACACAAATTAATCACATTAACAACTCTGACCCAAACTTCCTGTAATTCCATGAATACAAATGTACCATGACCTGCATGGCAGTAAAGAGGCAAACAAAGTAAAGGAACTTTTTCGGCTGATTATTTTTTTTCATTTTTTCAATATTTATTTCGAACAGATTAAAAAAAAAAAAATTTAAATGTGAAAAACAGAATACTGTATTGTTAAAATACAGTATTTATCCAAATTCATGATAATATTTATATATTCAACTAAAAAAAGTCTTCATATTAAATTAATAATAATAAAAAATCATATGTGTCCGACAGGGAGTAGGAGGAAGCAAATGCTTATGAATTCCCACCCCTTACTTGATCAATGATTGTCCTTTAAATCATTATGCAAGTTATTCCTACTTACATTTATACATATATATAAAATAGCAAGCTAAAAATAACTTTTATATCTACAGCTTCAAAAGCTTAAAGGTTCTCCTAAATACCAAATGCCTTGGCCAGGTCAGTACATACTGCTTCCAAACATCTTCTTCAAACACACTTTCCATTCAATGTAAAGGATATTTTCCTCGATCTGCGCGCCCAGTTCATCACAATCAGCACCAATAGCAATATGATCATCTGAAAAACACAAGATAAATAGTAAGAGGCAGTTTACCCTATGTTTGAAATGTGTTTTCCACTACATATACCAACAGGTTTACCTCCAGTCTGCAGTGCTTGGGTCATCAGTTCTCGGCACTTGAGCCTGATAGAGTCGGAGGTGCCTGAGGCGCGAGGAAAAGTCGGGATCAATGAGTTGGATGAAACGTCAGCGCGTTCACTCTTGCTGCTGGAGTTACTGCTGGAGCTGCTGTGGGAGCAAGGAGAGAAGAGAACTTGAATTCAGAGAAAAATATGAAAACGTTTAAAATAATTGAAAAAAATCTCTGTTGACGCTTAGTCATAATAGGTGTAAAGCAATAGAATATTATTATCACTCTTGTTACCTTTCTTCTTTTGCCTCTGGACTTCCCTGCGAGGGAGAAGAAGGCGTCGTTTGCTCTTTCCTCTTTTCATCTGACGTTTTATCTCCACCAGTAGGCTCATCTGGAGTAAGAGAATAACAGAAGAGAAAGCAACATTAGATATTTGTTACGTCAGTGCTTCCTAATGCCAGTCAGCTGAATAGCTCTGCATTTAGAAGAAATTGCCAAACCCACAAAGTTTCTTAAATTGTTGCATATAATGTTTTTGGAGTGTTTATGCGTGGACCTTTATAAAAAAATATATATATGGGTGGAGAAGAGTGACGGATTGTTTAGCATTATGGACAATATTATAATCAGATAGTGATTCCCCTCAGAGAAAAACTGTCGTGGAAGAACCTCTTGGGTTGAAATGAGAAACCTACCTAAAAGCTTCTTCCATGACTTGATCAGGGACTTGGCTAGAGATGTCACCTCGTCGTCTGTGCTCTGCTTGCGGATGGCGTTAACGGACATCCCGATTCTGGTAGACTGTGGAAAGACACTGTGTCAGAGCTCCAGGCTTTGAGAAGCGACAGTGAGCCGTGAGAATACATGAGCAAAGATACCTGAAGCAGCTCGAGAGTCATGGGGATACTTCGCAGCTCCTTCAATAAGTCCAAAGCCCCGGCCTGCAGAGGAGATTTAAGTTTGATATATTAACAACAGCAATTCAGACGTAAGAAAGATGTTGACTAGTTTTCCTTTCTGTCTATTTTGTCTATGGGACATTGTACAAATATGGGACATTAGACATACAAAGCTGCAATGAGATATACAGACATTAATAGAATGTATGTTAACAGACTTGGTATATAATGTAGTGGTTGCCTTTTAGTGGCAGTTTTGTAGGTGTGACACTGTTGCCCGAGGGATGCCCCGAGGAGGAGGAATACATACATAGCAATAGCAATAATGTTAGTGTCTAAGTAAATCAATAATAATAAAGTAAAAACAAACAAGAAAACTAACAAATAAATAGTAAAGAGTTTGGTTTGCTTCAGGAAGGATGTGGTATAAATCGGGTTCCTATCTTTTTGTAATTGGCGTGATTCTCTACTAATATGATTAAAATAGCTTTATTGGCATCACCTGAATGACATCGTGTTTAAAGAAAACAATAATAAAAAACAAGTTCAAAATCAACATTTATAAGTGAAACTGTACACTACTCAATTGACAGTAAAGGAAACAGCAACTATCAGGATAATTGATTCTTCGTTCTAGTTAATTTTCAAGCAAAACAACGAACATTAGCTTGTAGTAGCTTCTCAAATGTGATACATTGGTACTTTGTCACTATAATACATTCAGCAGTGTTATCAGAAACGAATCTGATCGTTACCTCTAGCCCCAGTAGCGTTGGATTACATGTAGTACAATAACAGTAGCTAGGAGGCTAACAGTTAACCATAACAGTTAGTTAACGCACTAGCTAATGTTAGCCGCTTGCAAAACACTACTGAAATCTTAGTTTTTATTGAAGGAATGATTGCAGATGTTGATTTCTAACTAGCTACTTAATTTTGCTCTTCTTTAAATCACCACACTACATCTAACATGTTATTACGCTGCAAGGCATATCGTTAGCAAGGACTGCTAAGTGGCTAGCTGCTGGCAACACATAGAACTACATGTTGTTAGGGGTAACAGTCCCGTAAATAGGTTACGGAAAATACTCAACATTTAGAATCGTGTTTACAATCACTTAACAGGTTCGAGGGTGAATTAGATGCACAGTAGGTAGCTAACCACATAACAACAATCCATTAGCGCCAATGTTAGCGGGTAGTAGGAACCCATTTTTCTCACCCCGTTTTTCTTCTGCGCCATTTTATCCATTTTTTTCGCAATTCTGATGATCTCCTCTTCCTCCTTTTTACCCATGTTGAGTGATCTGATTGTATCCAAAAGTCGGGAGAAATGGGGATTGGAAATTCCCGACAAAGAACACGCCGAGAGAAGTGAGAGCGGCGGCGGCGGCGGTGTCTACTTCAGGGACCAGGACCGCAGCAGACCTGAGCAATCGATGCATGATGGGTTCAGGGGCAGTTAATCGAGACGAAACCCAAGATTCCTCAGGACAGTGGGCACATGTGAGAGCTTGTGTGAGAGCCCAGATGGGTTTATTCCATTCTATGGTTTATTCAGAGGTGGGAGAAGTACTCAGATCTTGTATTTAAGAGAAAGTAGAAATAACAGACGGTACCAAGTAAAAGTCCTGCATTCAAAAGGTTAGTCAATTATAAGTACAAAAGTTAAGTACGGTACTTGAGTAAATGTACATTGTTATTCCCAACGCTGCTCTGCAGTGGTGGAAAACGTATTCAGATTATTTACTTGAGTAAAAGTACTAAAACTACACTGTAAGAATACTCAATTCATAGTAAAAGTATTTAAATACGACAAGGGAAATGTACTTATGGAGTGAAAGTAGTCTTTGCAGAAATACATATTTCAAATTTTTTTTAAAGCAGAAGCAGCAAATCTTTACATTTAAGGGGCTTGAACTATGAATTTTTTTTGAACAAACTTCTCCAATTTATTTTCTGCCAACCCACTCATGGTTTTAGGTACTTATAAAGGTAGCTTAAAAAAGTGTACCTAAGTAGAGTAGCCTACTTCAGTAAAATATACCTAGCTACTTTCCACCACTGCCTCTCAGTGCATTATTTAGACAAAGGTACAAGTTTTGATCAATACCCAGATGTGCCTGTGTATATTTCATGGATGTATAATAAGAACTGGATACAGCGTCGGAGGCGGGGTCTCGTTCTTTCCTATGAGAGCTGCTCATTGGCGCATGAGGACAAAATGGCCCAACTTTTGAGAGCGCGAAACGTCACAGATTACCCATCATGCCTTGCTGTACGCTCATAGAGCATGCGCAGTTAAGTTGCCCCTTAAGCCCCGCCCCCCGAGCTCCCACTCTCAGATGCGCGTTGCACATTTTACAACTTGAGGACCTAATGTTTTTAATAAAGGGTATACAAACGTTCATACTGGGTAGTTTATTTGGTTAAAAAAGAATTATCCAACGATTTACAGACCACTCTTTCCCAATGTCAGTCAATGGGAAAAAGTATTTCCGGGCCCAGGGACATCATCATCATCATCTGATAGATACGGAAGTTGCAGTACCGCCGTTTGGACACAACGAATATTTTCCTCGGTTATGGCTAGAAAGGATCCGTCTTGTGTAAAACTCTCGCGAGAGTTTGGCTGAATGTCACGTGGCTGAATGTTTACGTTTGGCAGGCAGCCTTTCAGTTACGATCGTTAACATCAGTGGGCCACAGCAAATGATGATGAGAAGCTAAACTATCTATTAATTATGTCAATTACAGGGAGTGTGATTGTTGAAATAGGGTGTTAGCAGTCTTGCTGGTGTTCAAAGAAGAATGACAACACTGTAGATCACCAACACTATGGTTTATTTTTTATTCACAGACAAGTCAACGTTTTCGCAGTACAAGTCCCAAGATAGCTCCTGGTGCAATAAAATGTTCCCTTGCAGTGTTTTACTATTGTGTCTGATGTTTCTCTATTAATATTGCTGCTGCATTAATGTGTATGTTGCATCATGTTACTGCTGTAGATGTGTTTCCGAGCCGCTCCAATTACAACGAGAGTTACAATGAGAACGTGACGTCATATTTACACTAGACGGATCCTTTCTAGCTATAACCATTTTCCTCGGAGTCCGGCGCACTTCCTGCCTGGGGGCTTGGGTATATTTCCTCAAATTCTCCTCAAACATCTGTCCTTCTGCTACCAATGCAAAGCCTGCATTTCGGCAGTATCGCTACCCGGCGGTAGATGGCGCCAACGNTGTTAAAGATCCTGGAACTGGCACACAGTCAGAAGTAGAGATAATCCAACACTGTTGTTGTTCTTACATTGAATCTCTTTGTTGATCATTGAACTTGGTCACAGGGCTGTGTATCTATTGTTTTGAATACATAAAGATTGACTGACTTCTGTTTCTGTAGGATATGGCCAGTGATGAGCTGAAGGAAATGAGAAAGAATTTGACCAAAGAGGCTGTCCGGGACCACCAGATGGCCACCACAGGAGGCTGTCAGACGGATCTATTCACCTGTGGAAAGTGCAAGGGGAAGTGCTGCACCTACACACAGGTACGGAGGGCCATTCATGCTTCATTTGAACTGTTGCTGTAAAACAGGGGGGTCCACATTTTTTTCTCCGAGAGCCACATACAGAAAAATATACGAAGGGCTGGGCCACTCACTAGAGGAGAGGTACTTTGCCTCATAAGTTGAGTTATAAGTTCGCAAAGTCAATCAAATGTAGGCAAATTATGCTTTATACTTGAAAATGCTTTAAGAAAAATCAGCCAACATCACAGCTCCCCAGAGGGTTTAATTTAATTGTTTTAGTTTGCAGCTCATTCCTTAAGACAGAAGCCTCAGATTGCTTATAATAAGGGGAAATATGAAGCTGGTTATGGAAACAAGTTATTAGGCTTTTTTATCAACTTAGATTTGTTAGAAAGTGTTTTCAACTTTAATTGATGGGATTCATTTGAAAGTGGGCTTATTAACACATGAATACTACTGTGTAATATATGTTTACATCAGTGGCGAACCGCGTCTATCACAACTGGACCTTCTGTAGACACACATGCCGCCGCCAAGGATGTAGAATATCTTGGTTGAAGGATATTCTACCCAGAGACCCAGAACAAGATCTGATTGGTTGCTTTCTTTTCTAACACAAAACCACTGAAATGCGTAGTGCATGGTCCGAGAAGGACAAACAAATCAACGTAACACTGTAATATTACAGATCAACAACACAGATACCATTCTCATTTATTCATTTTATATACATTTTATTTATATAATTAAATCGATTTTTTGTTTGTTTTATCTGAGTGTTCCAAGGTATTCTCTGAATACCTTGAAGGCCCTGACGGTTCGCCACTGGTTTACATATATATTTAAGAAGTACAATACAATACAAGACAATAGAATACAAGACAAGCAAAAGTTTCATTTGTGGGCCATATTGCATTGTACCTTTTGAATTAGCTGAGGGCCGATTCAAAATGGCCTGCGGGCCGCATTTGGCACCCGGGCCGTAGTTTGGACACCCCTGCTGTAAAAGAAGGATGTTATGGTTGATGGTAAAAATTGGTTCTACAAGAGATTACATCTCCTTGGAAGAGTAAACGCAAGGTGTTGTGATAATTCATTTAATTGCAACAACAAAAAAAGTACTGGTTCAAAGTCTTGAAAGATGGCAAATGCAAGATTTTGACCGTAATGTTATCAAGGTATGGAAAGCTTGTATTTTGAAAAGTTCTTAATTTTCAATATCATTCTGTGTTCAATATACACAACCAGTCATGTGAACCAAAAGTCTTTTCATATTTGAAATGAAACAATTCAGTGGTATTTGTTATAAAACATAATGCATGGAGCGGACTGGAGCTAGCTAAGTGTTAAATAACCCAAACACACAATCAAAGTTAATATAAACAGCTGGTTATGAATAACGCCTATAAAGGAATTCTTTACACATTAAATTGTACAATTGCATTTATATTAACATTTTACATTTAATGATAAAGCCATTAACATTTTAGATTTAGGTGCCTTGAAAGACCTTGAATAGTGCTGTAAATAACCTGTTGTATATGAATTGACTTAATTAAAATGGGTTGGTTACATTAATATTAAATTGGTTTGACTTCATATTCAACATGTAACTCAACTTAGTAAAGAGCAAAATGTACTTTTCATGATTTTAAAATCAGTCTAAACCGCAGTTTGATTTAGTTATAAATGGATTGTGAATGTTTCTGTCTTTTCCAGGTTCAAACTCGCAGTGCTGATGAACCGATGACCACGTTTGTCTTCTGCAATGATTGCGGAAATCGATGGAAGGTATGTTGGTTCACGCTCGGTTGACTAAGGCCATCAAGCATCTTTTTTTATTTATTTTTACTTGCATAAAAGATTGAGACCATTTGGTCCACTCTCCATGCAGACTTCAACTGCTCACCTTTTCATTTGTAATCCCACTTCTGCTCAACTAAATGCTAGTTTACACCGAAGTCTGCCACCTGGTGACGCCTCGTTGTTGTTGCATATCAAATAAAGCTGAAATGATAAATCAAGTCGAGAAACAGAAATGTGTTTCACAGATAATCGGTTTAGGTGTTAATCTAAATATCAAGCTAATATCAAAGCTGTTTATTTTGTTGCCTTATTACAATTATTATTCTTCTTCTTTTATAATTTACATTTTATATATTTAAAGAATTTCTGAATTTAGTAAAATAACCAATTGATAGATTTAATGATGATTAAGACAATTGTAGCGTGCACAACGTCTACATATAACTCGTGTTGTAGTTTGAATTAACCTCGATTTGTACATTTGAGTTAGAATTTATGGTAGCACTTTACAATATGACTACCCTTATAAAGGGTTTACGAATAGTTTGTAATTCATTTATTAATTAGGTTGTGAACACTTTATAAATCATTAATAAGCTTTTATAAGACATAAGATAAACAGGGCGACTGTGACCGGTTGCTTGCCAAATAGTGAGCCCACATTTATCTGTACTGCTAAACCTTATATCGGCTACCTAGCTTACTTCGTCTCCTTCATCAGCCATCCTTGGTATCTGTTGCTCACTGAGTTGATTCTCACTAAGTAGCCAATATAAGGCTTAGTCATCTTGCCAAATAGTGAGCCTGTGTTGAACTGGTTTATAAATGGTTCTTAATGATTAATAAAGTGTTTACAACCTAATTATAAACCCTTTATAATAATAATAATAATACATTATATTTATAAAGCGCTTTTCCTGGTGCTCAAAGCGCGTCTTTATGAATCCTTTATAAGGGTAG